TGGTTTTGGTTGTTTGTGTGTGTGTGTATGTGTGTGTGTGTGTGTGTGTGTGTGTGTGTGTGTGTGTGTGTGTGTGTGTGTGTGTGTGTGTGTGTGTGTGTGTGTGTTTGTGTTCAGGGTATAAGAGAAGAAGGGGAGGGAGTTAAATTGGCGTTTCTGGTATTTTAGACACACAATGTCTTAAGTTTGGTGGTTGGATCTATTAAATTCTATTTCATAAATATTTTGATTATTTTTCCCATCTTCTCTCTTGGTTTGTTGTTTGTTATTTATTTGTTTGTTTTGTATGCTTGTTTGATTTTGTTTGTTTATTTCTTATACTTCACTTGCAAAACTGGCGTAGTAATGGACACTTCGGAACTTTTATTTCTCAATCGTCCGTTTGAGAGTATAGCATTTTTTGTTATAACATTCCACTGATACGTTTAATATCTGTTTGAACATTTCAGAAAGAAATTCACGTGTGCCTCAAAAATGTCACTTGACGGTTTAACTGAGTTTATCTCAAACGTATTGGCTTTTTTGTCTTTTCGACCACAGGTTATATTTCGGAAAAACAGCACCCTAACGAGCCAGCTCTCAAGGGATACTCACAGTCGTATCTTCACTACTTTCAAAGAGACGACTGAGGGTGCTGTTTCTATCCGGGCTTTTGGCTCTAAGCAAAAAGTCATGAATGATATGGCGTGTGCCTTGGATGCTGACAGGTATAACATTGGAAGGAAAAGTTTGTGTGGAAAAAAGAATATAAATACCTAGACTTATATATGGCATTATGAAATGAATTTTGATAACAAATGAACTTTGCCATTTCAAACGGTTAGATGTTCTAACGTTTTTAACAAATTACCTGTTCGTATTTATGTAGTATGACTAAAACTACATATCTCTCGTTTGATAAATTAGTTACTGTACCCGTATTCTAAAAAAATAGTATATAGATTCACATGCTGTGTGACAGTAAGAACATTCCAAATTGCAGAAAGTTACGTTGTAAACGCGCAAACTACTATTATAAGTATACGCATTCCTTCATCAAATGTTTATTATGTACCACATTAAGGAGTTAATATATCAGAAAAAACCTTCTGATAGTAAAGAGTGATTCAAATATTTAAATGGAACACGGGTGCATTGTTAGCTCAATTTGGATCGTGCGTGACTGCGAAGCGGATGACCCAGGTTCAAATTTCCTATGGTGCGTCTTTTGGGGGAATTCTTAAGACTCTCCACCCATTCTCTAAAGGAGATATGCGTTAGGTTTGGAGGTACCCCCTCTTAAATGATTATACAGAGTTGAAAGGGGAGTTACATATTTGCGATGACAACGGGATGCCAAAGATAAGTCTATCTATCACCATTCACCAAGGCACCGTTAATACGCCTTCAGACCAATTAATTGTACACCGTAGTAGTGTTGTTTATTTTTGTACGAGTTTGACCCCATTTGGGACACCGTAAGGTATTTTCCCAGGCGGGATCTCTTATAGACAATGGGTGGAGAGTCCATCTCCGATAGAATTGAATCAAGTTGGTTGACTACATTGGAAACTCCTTTGACATGAACGCACCATTGAAGATTAGAACCAGTCTTCAACCCAGTCCGGTGTTAAGTTTATGGTCCGTCCGATCTAGATTGTCAACGTGTGTAGGCCTGCGCCAAAAAATTAATGACATAATAACAATATTTGATTCCGCATCCTTCTTTCTTCCTCGACAGTCGCTTGGGCCAGACAAGATCTAACTTGAACATTTGGTACAATCTGCGCCTGGCGTTTCTTTCCGAGCTAGTGGAGGCGTTGTCTCGTCTGCTCCTGCTCTGGGATTTAAACATGGCGGCAGGGTTAACTGGTGCAGTGCTGGGTTATGGTACCGATGTAAGTACTTTGTGCATTCACTAACAATTTCGTCCTAGACACATTTTGCCCCCACCCCCACCCCACCCAACCCCCAAACCCTTCTAAAATAGTAAAAAATAAAATAAAATTGAATAAGAGATCAGATATAAAATATGAATACAGATAAATGAAAAGACGGAAATTAAAATGAATAGATGAATAGATAAATAAAATAATAGAAGAATAAAATATTTGATATCTCTTGTGTGTCTAATGCACTCCCGGAAATTGGTGATACCGTCCGTTTAACTGTTTTATTCTGTTTGTTCAGTTTAGAATGTAGTTATTATTTTTTCTACTAAAATGAAAATAATAGATTACCGTTACGCAATATTAGATGCTTGTGCGCACCTGTTTCTTGTCTTGTTGCCCAGATCTCCTTCGTTTGAGATTGTTTCTTAAATTATAAGAACCGCCCTCTATCTCGAACTTATTAGAAGCTAAGATATAATCCTCCTTGATGACACAGTACTTGCACCTGAACCATTAGCTTGCTCTAATCCTTATTCCTTTCATGATAGGCAATGTCTGTATTCCTACATGACGTAATATTCAAAGTACGTTTTATTCCTGAGTAACCCCCCCCCGCCCCTTTTGTTTTCTCTAACTCTCTAACTCTAACATGCAGTTTTTGTCTTGGTGTTCCCCAGGCCATGTATTGTGTTCGCCGCTTCGTTCGCATCATGTCACAGCAGGAGTCCCACATGGTGGCAACGGAATGCTTGGAGGAATACTCCACCACAGCCACTGAGGTTGGGTTGTTTTTTTAACTTTTTCTTTTCTTTTTTTGGTGAGGTTTTTTTTACGGCGCTCACAACTGCATAAGGTCATATGAGCGCGCAGGACATATCAAACATTTTCAGTTGGTAGGAAATTTTGAATTTTGCCCAGGTGGCGCCCGAAGCCTACTCTTATCGATTTTGGACCACCAAGGGATTTTTTACGTGCGCAACTTGCATGTAGGACCTCCGAGATTTTTTGCCTTTATCTTAGAAGGTTAGTTGTTAGATCTTACCTACCAGAAAATCAAAGGTGTGTCTGAAAGACAGCAGTAAGAAGCAGCCAAGGAGTAGCAGTGGAAAGGCTGCAGAAAGAGTCAGGAGCCTAGAGGAGGGGGCAAAAGAGGTGAAGGGGTAATAACAGAAGGTGGAGACAAAAGCAGACGACAGAACATTGTAGATCAGAAAAAGATGTGAAATGAGAAACATTTTCCGTCCCTATCAGGATTCGAAACTGTGACTTATTGAATGAGAGGCAAACACCTTACCTCTAAACCACGAGAGCCCTGAAGTTGATCACTGAACACTATTGCCTAAATTCGTAATAATAGTAAATGTACAAGAGCCTGTGGCATTGTTAATGACCCAATTTAGATTCAAACTTGTGTTTTCTCTGTCGCCAAAGAGTGAACAGTATTCCCTAAAAAACCTGGTACTTTCTCATACTACAGGCGCCGTGGTACGTCGATGACGGAGTCTCCTTGGTAGACTGGACCCAGAGCCAGGACATATCGCTTGACTGTCTGACCACCCGATACAAAGAAGGGCTGCCACTGGTTCTGCGGGGATTGTCTTGCACCATTCAGCCTGGAGAGAAGGTGGGTTGGTAGTAGTAGTAGTAGTAGTAGTAGTAGTAGTAGTAGTAGTAGTAGTAGTAGTAGCACTAGCAGTTAGTAGCAGTAAGTAGTAGTAGTAGTAGTAGTAGTAGTAGTAGTAGTAGTAGTAGTAGTAGTAGTAGTAGTAGTAGTAGTAGTAGTAGTAGTAGTAGTAGAAGTAGTAGTAGTAGTAGTTGTTGTTGTTGTTGCTGTCGATGTAGCACCAGCAGCAACATCTTCTTGGCGACATCTAATTACTGACAGTGGGATTCTGGCTCGAAATCTTTCCACTACTATCTTTAAACTTTAGTATGTTTTGTAGATTAGATAATCTGGTGTTGTCTGATTGATTAAGTAGAAAAAACATTTGAGTACTAAGATTTAGTATTGGGTCCTCATACCCAACCCAGCGTGTCCCCGGGTGGTGGATAGGGGAAATACCTCCAGATATGGAGGTTAGCTGCTAAGCAGTCGCGAACCAAATGGGAGATGGTCGTGGAGAGTAGAGGGGAACCCTGGTGGCACAGGTGCTTCAATAAATACCTCACACACTCGAATAAGGGACCATCTTGGCGACCGGGGGGGGGGGGGGCATAAATCTTACCAAAGCCCCCACTGCCTTGTGGGTTGTCAGTGGATGACAAAGGCTAGCAGAAAAACTGTACACAAACCGGCAGTAGGCAACGGGAAACCACTGCTGTAATATCCCAAGAACAGTCATAAGGCAAAAGAAACATGGATAAATGATCAGTGTCAACAAATAGAGAAGAACTAAAACAAAGACAGCAAATACATGCATTCAAAAGTCAAAGAAGTAAGTGGGATAAAAGGATGCTCAAATACAGGATGCATAAGATCAAAAGGATGAGATATTTTAATGGACAACGGGGATGTCTTAAACAGATGGTTAGAATACATAGAAAAACTTTTCAAAGATAATAGAGGAGAAAAACCGGTAATAAAGAATGAGATAAATGGACCCCCAATACTAAAAGCAGAAGTACAAGCTGCCATTTGGAAAATGAAACAAGGAAAGCCACAGGGCCAGATAATATTCCAGTTGAAGTGATTGTCGCGCTTGAAGAACTAGGCACTGAAATAACAACAAAGCTCCTAAATGCTATTTATGACAGCAGTGAGATCCCAGAAGATATGATGAAGTCAGTTTTTATAGCTTTACCTAAAACACCAGGTGTCACTGAGTGTGATATGCATAGAACAATTAGCCTTATGAGTGATTTTACAAAAATATTGCTGCGAGTAATAATGGGAAGATTGAGAAAAAGTGTAAGACCAGAGATATCTAAAACGCAATTCGGCTTTGTTCCTGACAAGGGCACCAAATATGCTATATTCACCTTAACAATGTTAATGGAAAGAATATGTATTAAAGCACAGTAAGATCAGTATTTATGCTTCATAGATTATTCAAAGACGTTTGATAAAGTTAGACATGATGAGCTATTTAAAATACTGGAAAAGCTAGACATAGATGGAAAAGGTCTAAGAATTATCAGAAATTTGTACTGGGACCAAAACGCTGCTGTACAAATTAATGGAGAATACAGTGAATATAAGCAGGTTAGGCGAGGAGTGAGGCAAGGATGTGTTATATCACAAGACCTCTTTAACATGTACAGTGAAACAATCCTTAGAAACATAGAAGAACGTCCAGGCCTCAAAGTAAATGGAGAAAATATTAAAAACATCAGGTATGTAGATGACACGGTTTTAATAGCAGGCTCCGAAAAGGACCTTCAAATGCTTCTAGATACTGTTGTAAAAGAAAGTGAACGTAAAGGATTATTGTTGTTGAATGTAAAGAAAACAGAATGCATGGTAATATCCAAAAAAGCAACAAATCCTAGTTGTAATCTCATTAGCAAAGGTGAAAAGATCAAACAAATCCAACAGTTTAAATATCTAGGATATATGATAACATCTGATGTCAAATCTTCCACAGAAATAAAATGGAGAACTGCAATGGCTAAGTCTAGTTTCAATAAAATGAGCCCAATCCTGAAAAATAGAAACATCTCAATGAACACCAAAATGAAGGTCCTGAAATGCTATGTTTGGTTAACCCTTCTAAATGGCTGTGAATGCTGGACAATCACTGAAGACAGTGAAAATAAAATAGAGGCAACAGAAATGTGGTTTCTTAGGAGACTGCTAAGAGTATCGTGGAAGGAAAATAGATTTTTTTCTAAATCAAATGAGGCAGTGCTTGATGAAACCCACGTGGAACGCTCAATGTTAAAAACAATCAGGAAACGACAAATGCAGTTTTTGGGACACCTGAATAGACATAAGGGTCT